CTCAGGCAATCCATTCACCTCAGCCTCCCAAAGCGTGGGATTACAGGCTGAGCCACCGAGCCCAGCTCTTCTTTCTTTTTTGAGATAGGATCTCACTATGTTGCCTGGACTGGTCTCAAATTCCTAGGCTTAAGCCATCCTCCTGCCTCAGCCTTCACAATAGCTGGAATTATAGGTCCACACCACCGTGCCTGGCCATTTAAAAAGAAACACAAATGGTAGACTATTGCACCCACTTCCGGTCTTTCCCTCATAACAGCTTGGAGAACTTTCCTTTAGGGCATGAGGCGTTCCCACATTCCTTTTTAATGTCTGAACCGTATCCCACTGCTTGGCTGGCCCATCGTTTATTTAATCAGACCAATGGGTGGACAGCTGGTTCCACTTTTCCAGGGAGGAGCCTTGAACTCGTGTCACCTCCATGCACACAGGGCCTCTCCATTCCTGGAAGAGGTCTATGAGGACAAGTCTCCAGTGTTTGTAATTTGGGCAGCAAAAGTGCTTGAATCAGGTTCCTCTACCTCCAGTCACGGAGCAACACAGCCTGCTTTGGGAATAGAAAAGAGAAGGGTAGAATTCTAGAACTGTAGATGATTAGAAACATAAACTTTTTAAAAAAATTTTTATCTTTGAGTCGGAGTCTCACTCTGTTGCCTAGGCTGGAGTTTAGTGCCATGCTCATGGCCACCGCAGCCTTGACCTGCTGGGCTCAGGCGATCTTTCCACCTCAGCCTCCCAAGCAACTGGAACTACAGGCACACACCACCATGCCCAGCTAATTTTTTGATATATGTCGAGATGAGGTTTTGCCAAGTTGCCCAGGCTGATCTCAAAACCCTGGGATCAGGCAATCCTCTCACCTCAGCCTTACAAAGTGCTGGGATTACAGGCTTGAGCTACCATGCCTGGCAGAACCATGGAATTTTAGAATGGAGACTTCCCCACTCTCATCCAAAAAGCACCAGGAGAAACTGAGACCCAGAGACCCAGAGAGGCCCCTTCCTTCCCCTAATATACCCCAGACCCCCAACACCCTCGGACCTGCGGTGCCCAGAGTCCCCTGATACTCCCCCATTCCCTAGACATTTGATAGCCTCCCTGACAACCACAGTGCGCAGATATCCCCATCCTCTCAAGCATCCTCTGACATTTCTCAGCCCCAGAGCCTCCCAGGACCCCTCGACCTTTCCCATGTTCCCTTCTGACCTGTCACCCCTGCACCTCACAAAATAGGGTCCATTTAAGGGGGGAGAGGTCTCGGCGGCTGAGATGTTGGGGTCCTTGACTTTTGGCTCTGCTGATCCCCAAAGGGCTCTGGCCGAGCGCCTGGCCAGGGTGGGGCCCCCTGAAAGCGAGCCGGCTCGGGAAGCTTCCACCAGCGCTCTAGACCGTGTGACCCGGCTGTGCCACCGTGTCCTGGCCGACCTACTGTTCCAGGAGCTGCAGGTGAGTGAGGCAGGGTCTGGGCGGGGCCCATGCCAGGACAGGGAAATGCCCCCCCATCCCACTGTCCCCTTCAGCTAATGACTCAGTGTTTGGGAAGCAGGCGGTGGAGGGGGAGTTTGGCTGTTTGGGTGCCCAGGGGGTGCAGGAAGGAAGAGGTGGGAGGATGTAGCCAAGGGGAAAACAGAGCATAACCAGCAGGAGGGGTTTGGGGTTAGGGTGGAATCCTCCCCACTGACACCCCCAAATCCCTGCCCAGGCTTTCCTAGAATGTGGTGGGAGGACGGGGAGTGAGACTGACAGGGGTGCGTGTTCCTGGCAAGCTTCATCCATGTTGCCCAGTCGATTTTGTCCCTTTTCTGCCCAGAATCTTCCCATGGCTCCCAACTCCTGCAGAGCAAAACCAAAATCCTTGCCATGGCCCCAAAGCCCTGCACACCCTGCCCCTTCGCTGTCAGACCTCATCCCCTCCCACGTGTCCCCCCCCACCTTTGCTTACTCCACTCTAGCCACGCCCCTTGCTGTCTCTTAACACAGCAGGCACATTCCTGCCCCAGGGCCTTTGCACTTGACATTCTCTCTGCCTAGAATGCTTTCCCACTCATAGCCAGTCACATGGCTCTCTCTCTCACCTCTTTGTCTTTTTTTTAGATTTTAATTGTAAAGATGTGGGTACAACTCAGGGTTAGGTATACAAAGGGTCATTGTACAAAGGGCAGAGTTTGGGCCTCATCTCACCGCTTTCAAGTCTTGACTCAAGTGCCACCTTCTCGGTGAAACCTTCCCTGATTGCCCCATGGAAAACAGAAGTCCCCAGTTATCCCCTGGACTCCCTGCTGTATTTGCCTCCAAAGCACTTACTGCCCTCTGCTGTGCTAAATCCTTTTTTTTTTTAACCTGATGGGAGTTTGCTCCTCAAGGGCAGGGTTAGTTAGAATGTTTCTTTTTTTTTTTGAGTTGGAATCTCACTCTGTCACCCCGACTGGAGTGCAGTAGCACGCTCCCGGCCACCGCAGCCTC